GGTTTTTATTGGATTGTGCTGAGCCTCCCAGATGCTAACCTTTATTTGTCATGGGGATTGACCATTCAAATGGCTCATAAATAACCTAGTGACAGGCAAAGGTTGGGCTTTAAATACCTTTAGCAATTTCCTTTAGTTTGTTTGTGTGATTTATTTTTACATTTAATTTATTTCAAGGGCAATAATAAATGTATGCTTAGGGTGGCTGTAGCTCAGGTGGCAGAGCAGGTCAGCCACTAATCAGAAGGTCGGTGGTTCGATCCCAGGCTGCCTCCTGGCTGCATGCCAAATATCCTTGGGCAAGATACTAACCCCAACCTCAGAGGGCCCGGTGGCGCCTGTGTCCGGCAGCCTTGCCTCTGTCAGTGCGCCCCAGGGCAGCTGTGGCTACAATGTAGCTTGCCATCGCCAATGTGTGAATGACTGAATATAGTGTAAAGTGCTTTGGGGTCCTTAAGGACTAGAAAAGCGCTATACAAATGCAGGCCATTTACCATAGAGCTTGATCCTGCTGCATGCAATACATGATTTGTACATTATGAACAGTATTAGAATAAAAAATATAAAGTTTTCATTTTGGGGCTTTTCCTGTTTCATCATTTATTTGACACAAAGACTGCATAGCCCTACAATCTACTGTGACATTTCCCTGTGTTCTTCAGACATAACTCATGATCGACAGAGGAAACCTTGTAACAAGAGGGTAAACAGAGTGATGAGAGAGTCACTTTATCAATTTGCTACTGGAAATGTCGTGTTCATTTTTTCAGTGAGACTGTAAGCACAAGGCTGTGCAGCAAACAATCAAAACTACAGGTCACATGTTTTTTTCCAGAAAGAAGCTGCAGGTACTTAAAGTGGCAATAATGGCATAAATTGTCTAGTCTGTGATATATCTTCATACCCCAACAGTTATTATATTGATTTCCATTACCACTACAAAGAAGCTGACATTTGCTGTTTCAGATTAAATGTCTCATTATGAACAACAAAACACTGTCATTACATATTTAACGAAAATTAAGCCAAAATGCTCCCCGTGCAGCTTTTTTGGTGTGGCTTCATCGGTCTCTCACATGATGAATTTTGTCTCACTCTTCTTTCCAGTGTTCCCTCAATTCTTTGTGGTTTGTAGGATTTCATTTATCTACAGCTCTCCCAGCACAGCATTTCAGTCAAGTGGAAGTCTGGACTTTGGCTGGGTTATGGCAACACCTTGATGAATTTTCTTTTCATACCATTCTGTTGTAACATTGCTGCTGTTCTTGGGTTCATTGTCCTGATGCATGAAGAAGTTTCAACAAAACTTTAGCTGTCAGACAGATGGTTTCACATTTGACTCTAAAATACTCTGGTATGGAGAGGAGTTTATGGTCCACTCAAAGAGTACAAGGTGCCCAGGTCCTGTGGCTGCACACAAACCCAAATCAACCCCCCTCTACCACTGTGCTTCACACAGGGGATGAGGTGTTTGTAATGATATGCTGTATATGGTTTTCTCCAAATGTGGTGCTGTGCTTTGTGGCCAGCTTCACTTTGGCCTTGTTTATCCAACAGACATTGTTCTAAAAATCTTGTGGTTTGCTCTTGTCTTGATTGTGCTTTCATGAGTCTCAGACCTAGCTTTTGAGTTTTTTGCAGTTTCTCTGAACATTGCATGGTCTGACCTTAGGGTAAATTTGCTAAAAGGTCCAATCATAGCGTGATTGTGACATTGTCTTGAACATTTTCCTCTTGTTAATTCTCTTAAAAAATTGTCTTCAAATTGTTGGGAAGCAACCTTATAACCTTTCCCATACTGATGAGGGAAAAAAACAGTTGCGAGAAGGATTACTCTAAGGTTACTGCTGATCCCCTCCTTCCTTGGCATTGTGTTCACGAACACCTGAATGCTCCAGACCTGCAAACTGTCAAAACTTCTGCTTTCATACAGGTAAATCAAGTGCATTTTGTTAGCAATATCTTGCTGCTACTTAACCTCTTAATTCATATGGAAACAGCAAGGGTAATACCTCAATTTCTTACATGCATTTTGGCTTAGGTTTTGTCAAATAAATGACCAGATCTTTTTTCTTTTCTTTTTTTATCATGGCCTTAAAACTTTAGAGGATTTACTTTACTCTTATTCATTTGATTTGCAGGCAAATTTTCAACAGTGACATCCAAATAACACACTTCATCCTGCTTGATGGCTGATTTAACTATATATTAACTCGTGGGCAATCTAGATCCGCTTATGAAGGCTGGGTGTAGGGCTGCTGGAGGAGGAAGCTATGATAAATATAGACTGAGACAGTTCTTTCTACCTTTGATGTTTTTTTCCCCCTTTTTGTTGTTGTCGTTGTTGTTTCAGACAGCCATGAATTAATAATTCTGAGAGTTCCACATGAGCAAAGATGGAGATGGAAGTCTAACTTTCAGTGGGGGGAACAGCTTTTTTAAAACCTTATTCTGGGTCCAAATCAGCAAATCTTCAATCTCTACAAAGGATTCTGTAGAAAGTGAGTTACAGCATTTAGCTTCTAGCTCTCACATTGATCATCAGCACATTATCCTGGGATTAAACACTGTACATAGGCTTACAGGAATGTTATTATTAATGTTTAATGTTGTTGTTTGTTATTGTATTATTATGTGTTGTAATTGTATGTATTTGTTGTTTGGACTACATTGTTGTACATTGTCTGATTGTGTGCTAAATTGCTTATTTATCATTTTTGTCTGACCTGTCAGGGGCTTCAGATGAAAAGTAGCCTTCTGGCTAAATCTAGCATATTTACATTGAGACATAGCTCTGTCCCCTTTAAATACATGTATTCAAGTTCCAAAATACAGATGTTCATCACACCCGAACTGCTGCCTGACTCTGGGCATTTCATTCTGTGAGATACTGTGAGAACCAAACAGAAAATTTTGCTTCATTTTTTCTTTTCTTTCTCAACACAACCTTCAAATGCCCCTCATAAAATCAAACGCAAACATTTAGAGCACTTGACTTGGCAGTGGTCTCAGGCTTAGCTACAAAAACTGGATTCCTAAACTATGTCCTCCCTTAAATAGCCTGCTGCACTAATTATGAAGGGCAACATCTTTGTCACGGCTGGGGCGACAGTCGTGTGGAGGTGAGAAGGAGGATCCAAATAGCAGCTAGTGGTGGAGGTGCAAGTGAGATTTATTTACAGTGAGTAATAACCAAGAAGCGGGCAGAACCGAAACATAAACCTAAACTGGGAAAACTAACACAAAAGGAGGACACGGGGCGAGGAGCAGAGAGACACGGTGAAACACGGAATAATGCTGAGTACACAGACGATTCACAGAGAAACACAGACTACGCGACCCGGAGCACAGGCAGACACGCAGTATAAATACACACCAAGGCAGGCAGACACGCAGTATAAATACACACCAGGTAATTAGGAGATGAGAGACAGGAGGGCAACACACCTGGGAGAAATCAGAGCCGACGGGACAGGGGAAACGTAAAATGAACACACTCACATGAGAGGGGACCTTCAGAATAAGACAGGAAACTCACAGACACAGAGAACTAGATGAGACACTGAACTTAGACAGATTCACACGCAGACAGTGTGACACCATAGACAGACGGAACACAGAAGTGGGACCAGGGCAAGCACAGAACAGAACCCTAACAAATGGCAAATAATAACAGAATACATACTCAGAATAACAAAAGTACAAAGAAACACAAAACATTGAGTCGGCAGACTCAGGACCATGACAATCTTAGTTGTTGTCCATCCAAAGATGACATTTAATTGTAAATAAAAAATTCCCTAGATCAGGGGTCTCAAACATAAGGCCCCATGTCCTACTGATAAATCCTTCCCCCACAGTTGTTCATAGTATAGTAATAAAGTCAAAGATAAACAATTAAATGGCAGAGTGGTTCCTGTTTTCCGCCCACTACATGCTATAGAAATGTGTGTTTTTCTGTTTATAAAATGTCCAGGGTAAAAATAAATTTAAAACGTAATAAACAAAAAGGGGGATTTTTCATGAATTAACACAAACTTTCCACTTTATAACTACAGTGTAAGCAATGAACCACCAAATCTTTTTCTGTAAGTTTACACATTTCCTATGATTTAAACCCAAAGAATCACACTGACAGCTGTAGCTCATTTACTACAGCAAAATCTTTATGATGTAGGAAAACTGAGATGTAATGTTGAAATTGCACTTCTTATATTGAGATATCTCGGGGGTAAAATGTGCAGCTAGGGGTCTTCCACAAGCCAGGGCCACTTAAGATAGGGGGCTGTATGTGGCCCACGATGTAAAATGAGTTTGTCATCCCTGCCCAAGACCCTTACCCTCAACGTGACCATCACAGACATAAATAAAAGCCTTACACTTATGTTGAAATTAGGTTTGGGGGTATACCGCCAGACTTAATTTCAACATTAAGCCCCACAGCGGAAAAGCAGCAGCTGTGTTAAATTTCCAAACATTTTCGCACACCCTATTTAAACTTAAATAGGTCCTCAGAAAGATATGTGTACAACAGACACGCATATAAAGCCCCCCTCACCCCCCACCACCACCCGTGGGCCCAAGCATCCCACTACCCTGTGATGTAAGAGATGCCCTGCCTTTAAAAGTCCTGGCGCAGAGCCCAAATCGCATAACCCCACTGGTGGCACAAGAATCTCCGCTACGAGCGCGGATTACAGCCAGTCCAAAAGTGACAACTTGAAGACGAGAGGCGTCTCCCACGCAATAAAATAAACTGCTGTGGAAAGTAACTTGATAACTGGGATGAATTTTGTTAGATTATATGTAAATTATATGTAAATTAAATTATACTCTCAAGCTGGTTCGCGGAGAGACGCGGTGAAAGCGGAGGAGGCGTTACGTTAAAGTGACGTTAAGGTGACACTTTTTGGTTACAATGCATTTTTTAACATTCCTGCCAGTTCTCTAAGAGTCGGCAGCCAGGTGATCGCTCTCAGGATCAGTGGAGGAATGCGCGTTTGTTGCACATGAGCATGGAGTAAGATGGAAGCTACACGCGCAAACTTTACAGATGCGCAATGTGACCAGCGCTGCCGAGTGAAGCAAGCTCCAGAGTGAAGAGAAACTGATGGACTGAATGGACGACGGCATGTTTTCTGGTCAGGCTGGTCTGAATTACAGCTTCAACCTGAGCGATGACCGAGAGTTGCTGGATGCGCAGGCGGGCTCGGCGAAGCTCTCCCCGGCGGGCTTTGTGGTGCTGTCCGTGGTGCTGGGCTTCATCATGACTTTCGGCTTCCTGAACAACTTCATTGTGTTGCTGCTGTTTTGCAAATTCAAAAAGCTGCGGACACCGGTGAACATGCTGCTGCTGAACATCAGCGTGAGCGACATGCTGGTGTGTTTGTTCGGCACCACTCTCAGCTTCGCCTCCAGCATCCGCGGAAAGTGGCTGCTGGGGCGCAGCGGCTGCACCTGGTACGGCTTCATCAACTCTTGCTTTGGTAAGTTCTGCTTTTTTGAACAGCTCAAAGTTTGGGATGTTGTGGTATTTGTCAACTCATGCACCGTTTTACATTTCTGGAAATAAAACTGTGCGAAATATCCGCTGTTTTTGCAAAATTTATTATAATAAGTCACTGAGACATTGAAGTCAAAGCTGTGGCAAATATGCTTTATTTCACATCGTCAAATGTAATTAGTTATTAGTCCGCTCTGTTGTGTTTTTCTGCGTAAGAGTCATCGGGGCTGATGGGGATTGGATGGATTAATAATATTTTCAGTAGACCATGAGACTCCCTCTTTAAATTACTTCGCTTTATTGAAGCCATTGGTATTCATTAACTTGGATTGTTTGCACAATGGTTAGTTTCTGTCATTATTCCAAGTAGCAGCTTTCACAATAATAACGCATAATAATAAGAATCTGTACATATAATGATAGCTGAGCCTGATAGATAATCAAACAAGCGCTCTTTGGATGGATCCAGATTCTTCTTCTTTTTTTTTCCAAAGAATTGTGACCCAAAGTCTGTCCACTGCACAAAGAGAAGTACATTTGACGGTTGATCACATGGATGTCTTTCGGTAAACAAATTATGTAACGGTGACACTGGTTCTGACCTCAGACCTGCGGGTTTCATGTCTGTACAGCCCGTTTCCTTTTAAGTCTGCTTATCAACAGACACTGCCCGCACCGTATCTGCAATCACACTGGCCAGTTGGTCCAGCGCTTCACTCTGACCTTCTCTTCCTCTGTCTCCAGAGGGAACGGGGATTGCAGTCAGATATGAGTATTATTGTACTACATTGTTCATGAGCCCTCCATCCCCTCTCTTATTAAACTAAAACATCATGAGCTTTTCAGCGTTTCTTAACATCTGGCTGGTTTGAGCAAAAGGAAGAGTGAAAAAACGAGTTTGTATTTTACAGTTTGTCACACAATGCATAGCATACTGATTTATTTAATGACGTATAAGTCCGTGCCCCCACACGGACGTATAAGTCCGTGCCCCCACACGGAATTATACGCCTTTTTTTTTTGTTTTTTTGCACTTTGACTATGTAGTTCATCCACCAGGAGGTGGTAGTGTCACAACCTGGATGCACTGACCCTCATCGCATTTATCAGAGGATATGAACTCTGGAACTGTAGCGATTTCTTTTTATTTACGTCTGACAGATTTAGGGCAATCTCGTGTTTTCATGTTAGGAGGTGAAACGTTTTTCCTACATTTGGCTTGCTCAGTGTTGATTGTTTTTTGGGGTCAGGCTCATATTTGCCACAGTTCGGGAAGGAAAGTTAATTCTGACACAATTGCTGGAACGTAACTCACCCACTTTAGTCTTTTACAGTGTGGTCAATAAACTCAAATTAAAGTGCAAGTGAAGGCCACAAGCCGAAATGCGTTGGTCAATTATTGAAGTTGTTCATCTTCCCTCAAGTGTTGCTGGAGTTCCTGCTATGTGATTTCATTACACATTCACGCAGTAGTTGAATGCATAAAATTATATACACTGAGTTGTTCTCATACTAGTAAAATTACTTTTCATTTCAGTTCCATTTTTTTTTATTATACTTTTACAGATTTTCATCTGACCTCACAAATGATATTTAGACTCTTATCATGAATACAGAAATATGTATTATTTTAACTTATCTCTGTTTCCATATCCTCTGACTGTGGTGTTTTCCTTCTGCCGGTGCTTGTGTGCTGGTTTACATCTGTTCATTTACCTTCTGTGTATTGTAAAACCGGATATGTCAGCAGGATATGTTGAGGCGGTGAATTTTCATTTTCCTTCACATTATGTTTTAAAGTCAGCAGCGTGCTTTGACTTTATTCTCCCCTGGGCTTCTCGCGGTGTTGCATTTTTAAAACTTGAACCAGCATGGTAACAGCTCACTGCTTATTTACTGGTGTCAAGAGAGAAGGTGCTGGAAAGCTGACAGAAGTCGGTAGATACAAAATATTTGCCACATAAAGTTTGCCAATATGAATGCAAAGAGCAGCCATATATTAGTCAAACATTAAAGCGGGTACTCGCAGCACCCCCACCCCCCACCCCACCCACCCACCCACTCAGCTCTACACAGACGCATGCAAGCACGCACAGATAGAGGAATTACAATTTTGTAAACACATTTTAACACGGGGAGCATAGAGAAAGTTGGTTTAAATGACTTTAAACATGGCATGGTTGTTGGTTCGAGATGACTTGGAGTATTTCTGATCTACTGGGAGTTTCCCACAAAACCATTTCTATGCAGAGATGAACTGAAACAAAGAAGATGTCCAGTGAAAATGCATTGTGGTCAGACGAGAACTTACTGACTGCTCCGAGCTGTCAGGAAGGCACCATTAAATCAAATAACCACTTGTTGCAACCAAAGAATGCAGAACACATCAAACTTTGAAGCAGGTGGGCTATAGCAGAAAAACACACGTCTCACTCCTATCCTAAACTGAGGCTACAGTTCACATGGATTCAGCAAAAGGGGGCAATAGATGATTGAAAAACATTGCCTGTTCTAAGCATTTCTCCTGCAGCGTTCAGATAGTGGGGCCAAAAATTTGTATAAACAATATGAAAGCGTGGATCCATCCTGACTTCTATCAGTGGTTCAGCCTGGTAGGGTAATGCTATTTTCTTAGCACACTTGGGTCCTTTAATACCAACTGATGGTTTAAACCCCACAGTCTGCCTGAGCATTGTTGCTGACCGTGGTCATTCCTTTATGACTAAAGTGTATCCATCTTCTGATGGCTGCTTCCAGCAGGTTAATGCACCATGTCACAAAGTTCAAGTTATCTCCAACAGGTTTCTTGAACATAACAGCGAGTTCACTGTACTCAAATGGCTTCCACAGTCATCAGATCCCAATCCAATAGAGCCCCTCTGGGATGAGGTGTAACAGAAGATTCATATCATGAAGGTGCAGCTAGCAAATTTGCAGCAACTGTGTGATGCAGTCATGTCACAATGAACCAACATCCCAGGAATGTTTCCACCACCTTGTTAAAATCTATGCCATAAATAAATAGGGTATTTGTGAAGGCAAAATTAGGTCCAACCTGGTACGTTGTACCTAATAAAGTCTCTGATGTGGGTCTTATGCTTCTTTGTTATATGACATGTGTGCAGGATGTTAATATGTTTGTACCAATGATCAAGCACTCTTACCTCGTCCAGTACATCCTGTTCTCCCAAGTAACTGTTTTGTTAAAAGAACATTAGCGCCAGTGTCACATAGCGTGCGCTTGAAGATGGCAGAGCGCTTTGAGTGTCAGCAACCATAATACACTGATTGTTCATTTCTCTCTTTCTATATATATTATTGCCATTATCATCTCCCTGTTATTCCTCCATCATATGAGACAGCATAAGGGCTGATTCAATATATATAACTGCCAGAGAGTCGCACATCATAACAGATCACAGTTTTTCTTGGCCTGAGGCTCAAACACGGGTAAAATTAAAAACAGGGCTAGGCAAACCATCATATACAGATAGAGAAAGCAATCAAGACATAGACAGTCATGCTGTCTTTTTGTACAGAAAGTATAAAGAAAACAGAAATGTTGAAATAATACATTTTATTATTTTTTCCAAAGCATCATTATGGCCACATTACAAGAACTTACAGTATTCCTAAAGACTTTTGAAATATAGTTGTTTCAGTGTTCTGTCTCCTGTCTTGTACTTACGCTACACGAGTGGGAAGGTGGGTGACAACAAAGAGCAGGAAGAATGTTTTACTTACTTTACTTAAAAGTCCAGTGATCTGCACACACTCAAGTAAACAGCTGATAAGAAGAAAGGACAATACACAGGGTGTAGTCTGTTTATTGTTCAAGGGCCTGACATTCACTTAACCTAACTTCTCAAAGCTTTTAAGCGACCCTACAAATCACTGGCTTACACCACTTGAGTAAGAACCTTGTAAGAATAATGATGTTACTGATGCTTTTGTTGCAAGCTGTAAGTGCTGTATATCATGATTACGTATATGCTGCATGTGTGTGTGTGAAAATGCATCGCATGGGAGTAAATGAGGCAGTGTAGGTTTAAGAAAACAATGGCTGTAATGAAGATCAACGATCTACATCCCAGAATGAAGATAAAGCAACTTGTGTCAAGAGACACCCAAACATAAAGATTTTGATAGTCAAAGTCAAATTTATTTCTATGGCACATTTAAAGACAAGCTCTATATATAAAATAATCAAATGACACAAAAATGTAGGACAAAATGACAGAATTTAATAAAGGAAAAAAAGAAGAAGAGAAAACCCGAAGAAGACGTAACACTAAGAAAAATAGTCAAAACTAATTTGGATTTAAAAGCCAGAGAATAAAAGTTTTATTCTGAGTTTTATTCTGAGTTTTATTCTGAGTACTCTGAGTTTTAGAGTTAAATCAAGAGTTAAAGGAGTTTTGCTTTTTGTTATCATTGTTTTCTTTTTAGCTTAAAAGCAGTAAGTGGGGATTGGTGTTTCCTTCTCTCTACACATTGTAAAGTAGCTAACAAAGTCATATAACTTACTAACAGTTTTACCTCAAAACTACTGCATTTTCTTTGATTTTAATCACATGTGAACAGAATTTTCCGGAAAAATAAATACATTTATGACAGAAAACAGCATGTTTTGGATGATCATTAATTAATTATTAACTGTAGGCCACAGTATGTGTCTCCAGAGTGTGGGGATTTACATATTTGTTTAACAAGTGAAAGATCCCTGCTCTGATATAAAGAGGAGACACAAATCCCTTTCGGGAAGGGCATCCAGTGTACAAATCTGCCAAATTAAACATGTGGTGACCTGCTGTCAATAAGAGAGCAGCTGAAAGTAGCTCTATTAATTGCAAGACCTTTCTTTCATGACTAATGAAAGGAAGATTTTTTTTAAAAAACGAGACTATTATCTCAAAACCCTGGTGGTAGATATCCTTGTAGATGCCAGGGAGGGAACAGAAATAGGAAAAAACAAAGCAGAAA